TATATGTTTTTGCAAAAATTTCGAATATATATTTACATTTGAAGATTCCATAATTCAGCAGTTGTCAATAATTAGACCATATGCATTGATCATACATGGAGTTTTATCACCATTGAAACAATTGGGATGTATGTTTTTGAATGAAATTTCCTCTAGATCGGTACAAGATATTAGTTAAACTGTAGTATACCATTTTTGTAAAAAAAAGATGGAGGGATCAAACGGTGAGAAGTGTCAAATTCGTCATCTCTGTCAAAAATGCTTCCATTATACGGAAATAGTAATTTTCCTAACAAGTGCGGAAAGTTATTCTTTCCCGCACACGACTGCCGTTGACACGCAAGCAGTCGAGTGCGGGAAAGACACTTTCCGCATGAGTTAGGAACAATATTTTTTTTACAAGCGTAGGGAATTGATTGATTTGTTCAATTCATTATTCATGCAAATAGGAACAACTAACAAGAGAAATATATTCTCTAACTACTAATTATTAGTAATAGCTATTGTGAACTTACAGTTTGACGCATTATGTAGGTTAATTATTGCGGAAGCCATCAGGCCCATAAGGTGCTTGGTCTCTAGGATTCAGACACTTCTAGGAAATGAGCCAAAAATACTTCTTTTTCATTCGGTATTTTCATTTTTTTATTGTTGCACCATTCAATAAAACGCGTGTATATAGCCTCTCATACATTTGTTAGGACTTCGTTGGCAATATCGCATCTGTATCGCATCCCTATAGCTGGACGTTTTCGATCAAATTGTGGCAATTACACTAAATCGAAGATGGCAGTAACGCTGTGTCTGTCACTTCGACAATTACAAACTCATTTGAGGTTTGATTGGCATGACAACAATAATCGTTTCCCTTCAGATCAATCCAAATCTATAGGGGGATTTTTATAATAATCAATTTTAAATTTTCAATATTTCCTAATTTTCACAATGAATAGTACAATTTGATGGATGATTCTGAACATACATACTTAGTGCACTAGTGCGGGAAATCAATGTTGCGGGAAAATGGCACTTCCCAAACTAAATTACGTGCGGGTATAGGGTGAATGACGCACGCTTGTAGACAAAAATTCCTTCCTGGTTAAAACATAATCACTGAAAAGCCGTTCACGTATGGAAAGGCGCATTAGTATGAGTTCATCTACGTGCTCGAATATCATAAATTGATACCATGATGGCAACCGTTTGAAAGTTATACATGAAATTCATCTTTCTCATTCTGAGTTTCAAAAGGACAATAACAAAAAGCATATTTTTTATATAAAGTAATACCATTATTTTGGCTCACTGTATCACTCACTCTATCTATCTATCTACCTATCATTTACGAAATGACCTTTCCAGAATCCCTGTGTACAGCGTTGTTATTTCATCTAATAGAAATATGATGATCCATGAATATTTCCAGTGTGAATCCTATTATACAGGTCAATTTACCTAGGCAAAGTATTATTCCGTTGATTGTTTCACCAAAATGGGTTGAAATTTTTCGAATTCAAAGAAAAATAATGATACAAAGGATTGAAAATTTTACGTCAGACACATAATAGGAAATATTCATCTACTACTTCATATTCCATTTTTCATTATTATAAAGAATAATTAATGTAGAATGAAAACAATTGTTAATGAAAATCAGCGCCATCTTACGCGTCAGAAAACGTTATCATCATAGTCTGTGTGAATGTTTCAGTAGGTAGACCATGCTCAAATGTATTTATTTATTTACCATTTTCTTATTCGCACCCTAAGATGAATTAGCTTGTATAGCAAACCCGAGCAATCCCATTTTCTTTCTATTAATCACTCAATAGATATTCTTGAACATGTCGTTTCATTCGCGGATAATCAGAAAATTACAACAAAGTTAGAGCTCGGATGAGTTATCAGTTATTTCATGGAATTCTGAATGTAATCAACTTGAACCAAAAATTATATCCAGAAAAAATTCATAATAATTTAAATATCTACTATTCAACATCAACATTAAAGACTTATTGTTAATATTTTACAATATACATTGCAAGGTGAATTTGTGGTCAAGTAATGAATAGTTCACTGGACACGTTCATACCATTTTTCGTTTCAAATAATCACCAAGCTGAAACTTAGCATTTCCTAACTCATAAGATCTTCCTTTTTCACTACATGATTTTTTCATCATTTGAATATTATACCTAATGAATTCATTTATCAATCGATAGTTTTCAGATCCCAAGGAGCAGAGTGACCTAAGGAGACATCACATCAACGTTGGTTTTTCTTCATTTTCAGTCCACGACGTCTCTGATTGAAATAAAACCTATGAATGTCGTCATATTTCATCCGAAGGGACTATCGACCGTGTCACCAGAATGCATAGTTGCCAATGAATTTAATCAAAGGTTATTGATGAATTATTGAGTTTCTAAAATACCAAATTCATTATCATCATCTCTAAATATTCTTTCAGAATTTCTCTTTCATAAGTCATTCTATTGAAACTAACTGTATCACCTGCGTTATTGAGACAAACAGCCCAGTAGCACACAATCTTGGCTGGGCATTGGCCCTATATTGGCCCAATATTGCCGATATCGGGCCAATACCCATACAACACGGGATATCCTATGGACATCCAAATCATGTCCAATTCATGTCGGGATATCCTTGGACCTTTTTGGATATCCATAGGATATCCAAAATTCACCCGCGCGGATATAATCAATGTAATAAATTTTGAATATGAATTAAATTGATGAAAATTCAAATCTATGTGTGTACATAGTTATATTACTAGGAAATATATAATATATCGAATATGGAATTTCAACGTCTTCTTGGATATCCAATGGATATCCATGGGATATCCTGTATTGGAGCATTGAACCACGTCGTTGAACAATAGCGCCCAGAATAACATAGAGATGTCGACAAAGTCGGCAGTGTCGGACTCACCAAACATATTTTGATTTACTGTCTACTGACATTTAATTGGAACAAATACAGGGTAATTCAGAATTCTGCACAACCCTGTATCTGTTTAAATTGAATATCAATTGATAGTAAATGAAAAGTTAAGATATATGTATAGGTATATGAAATCCGTTTTGAGCAATAATGAATAATTTCGACACAAAAAATTCCTGAATAAGTTGAGAAATCTCGATTTTCCACCTACAAGACCCCAAGTGCGTGAAACATCGATCAAATGAGCTCTTCAGGGAGAATCATGAAATGCAATAAAATACAGGTGTTTTCATTCGAAAAAACTGTCAACTCAGATTTTTCTCAAATACGTATCATCCTGTCTGAGGCTTTTTCGCAAACATTGTATCACAGAGATATAGAATTTATGCGTTATACTTCTATGGACGCACTGTATACATTATATTAAGTTATTTGTCCCTTCCCACAATAAAGGATTTAATTTTTTTTGTGATCAATATATTGCAGGTAATGTTTAATTTCATTCTTTATTAAATATTATTATTATAATTATTGTTCATTATCATACCCAGTGAACCATTATCATAATATTTCAAACCATGAAATCAAATCATGGACATCCGAATGTCATCTGGAAATTAATTCAGGGATTATGGAAATGGACATCTAAATAGTATCCAAAGGATATCCTATGGACGACCAATGGATATCCTAGTCCGCCAACCTGGATGTCCATAGGATATCCTATATGAACACCCATGAAAACATAAGGGATATCTTATGGACGTCCATGAAGGATATCGTATGGACTTTCTTGAACGATGTTCTATGGACGTCATTGAAGGATATTTTATGGACGTCCGTGAAGGATATCCTATGGACGTACAAGTTGGTGGCCTCAGGACATCCATTGGACGTCCATGGGATATCCATTGGACGTTATTTGGATGTCCATTGGATATCCAAAATATCCTGAATGGATATCCTATGGACATCCATCGGATGTCCATGTGTTGTATGGGTATAGAGCCAATATCCAGCCAAAATTCGTGCTACTGGGAGGTAGTGTCAATCATATTTTGAATAAAAATGTATGGTACAATAGAAACAAGAAAACTGCGAAAATGCATGATATTATGAGCAATTATTGCTCGGTCACTAGAATCGAATTGAGGTTCTTGATTAACTCAAGCATAATATGGTGTCTACTCCATGTGAAACTATTCACGGTCGGTGCGCAACTTTTCTCTGGTGTAACCAAGCTTGTAACATAACCAATAATTATTGATTCCACCAGTTAAAATTCAGTCAATTTCATCATAAGTAATTGATAAGTTGAGCAATAATAGGTATGTATGAACGTGGCCATTGAAACAATGATTTTGTCATTTCTACTAATGTGAGGATCAACCTAAATAATGGTACTCATAGAATATATCAACTATAAAAACTTTTGTGGAATTGAATTTTTCAAGTCAGTCAATTAATATTCACTAATTTGCTTAACCTACACAGCTCAGATAATTTACTTTGGAATGTTATTGGGTACCTACCTCTCACCCAGTGATATGTATATACATTGTATAATATAAACTTACCAGAACAAGATGGCCATCCTGAAGTATTTTATGAAGTCTCCCAAAACCGTACATCCAATAGCTGTATAATCACCATCAGAAAAGCCATTTATTTATGTAACAAGTGCTTGAAACAGGCCTTTATGGGCCTCAGTGTTCAGGGAATAGACCAAACATTAAAATAATTGAATATTCCTGGTTTCGACAAATCAGGCCTTTGAGAATCATCTTCGTGAATATTTGTAGTTGGTGGAGAGAATACTATGAGTAGAATTACATATTATATGAAAAAAATAGAATATATCATCAGAGCACACTTGACCACAAATTGAAAATATAACATTTTATATTTTCAGTATACCTAATCCCCATTCAGGAAATCTATAAATAATATGGTACTTATCACTTACTGTTAACAAAATTATTCACTAGATATTTGTTTTTGCTACTTGAGCAATTGAAGTTGACCAGATTTGTTCATTGATGACCCTCACTGTCACTGTCACTTTTATCTGAAAGAGAAAAATAGTACATGTTAGCCAGTTACCTATCAATTCAGCTAAACAAAAATATCCGGAATATTCTAACGCACGAAAGTAGATGCCTACTAGCTTCATTTACGTTGCGTTCAAATTCGACTTTTAGAAGATAGATATGTAAGTCCCAAGAAAATATCACTGATTTGAGCAGATATTCTCACTGTCATTTGAAGCTCCTAATCACTAGGGTCCCTTGATGGAAATTGACGTAAAAGTCATCTTAACAGGGTACGGACAGATCCTCGTCTCCTCTCACTCTAAAGTGTTTGTGAAACAATTATATACTTCCATCCTTATTCAATTCTGGGGATAAACACTAGATTTTTGACATTCTTTGTTTTTTAGGTTATATTGAGGTCACTGGCGTATCATACGTAATTTCCATATGGAAATCCTGACGTAACTATACCAAGATATAGATGAACAATCCTCTAGTATTAGAGTTTACTACCCCAGCATAATCTTTGCGAGGTAGAGAACATATAAATTGTACTGAAAGCTTGATATATTTCACCTAAGATGCCTATAGAGACATCTCAATTATTTCACCAAAAGAGACTGTTCTTAGACTGTATAGGTACCAGGGTTGACTGAATTGAATGAATTGATTCTGATTTCAAGCTGAGCAGTAGTTTATCTATGAGCTGAATAAGCAGAGCCTTATGATTGAGAAATGGTGAAAACCTCGATGTGGGTATCTAAACTACTGTGCTCATGTCATGTGTGCTAAATATATTTTCGTAAATCCAACTCGGAGAAGAATTTATGGAGTTACTAATATCACACTATGTATAAAACTTCGTCTAGGACGAGAAGTAGGCTGAAAAAAGAATATAATTTACCTGATTCTTCCGTCTCCCTACAAGTCATTTTCGAATAATTTATTGATGAAAGTAACAAAGAAGTAGGTATACGAAGTATACCTTATAGGCACGATATTTTCACTTTTGCATCCTACATATTTTCTATTTGTGGTAGAGTAATAATTATATAAACTAATGTCTTTCGCCATATTGGATTCGTCATCTTGAATTTTCCAATTTTTACGAAACAATCATTATATCTCCTACCCCGAAAACCACCAGATACCAATTTTGATAGAATCGGATCTTCATTACAAAACTGGTTAGACATATTGGATCCGCTATCTTGAATTTCCCAATTTTGACAAAAAAAACATGAAGTTCGACCCCGAAAACCCTCAGATACCAATCTTATATATAGAATCAGATCATAATTAGAAATTTCTTTCGCTATGTATTGGATCCGTCATCTTGAATTTTCCAAGTTTGACGAAACAATCATTATCTCCAACCCCGGAAAACCCCAAATACCTTCCAATTTTGAATAGAATCGGATCATAATTAGAAAACTCGTTCGCCTTATGATCTTCCTCAACAAATTAATACCCTGTACATACCTATTATTAAAATTCTGAATGATTTTGTGTAGCGCCCATGGATGTGACGTGACAGCAATGTCAGGGATGCCAGTAGACAAAACCAAAGTCTCTAGATCATTAAAAAAGAATGCAGCTATGATCTGTCCGTACCCTGTTAAGATGACTTTAACGTCAATTTCCATCAAGGGACCCTACTAATCACCATCTTCATTACCTTTTTTGCCAGGATAGGCGTGCCTCTTCAGCCTATCATACAAATCATCTTTTGTTCCATAAATGCTAGCGTTCGACCTAGCTAAACTGTTCATTTTCCCATTCACTCCATTATGAAGACTCTCCTTCATGTAAGTCTCATTGTAGAAGTTCGGCATCTCCCAACCGTCTTCTTCATCGTCGTAATAATGAGCATAAGTGGAATGATGACTTGGTGCTATACTTTCCGCATAGGGTGTGGGCGCGCCATAATAGAAATTGACTTGGGAGCCGTTTTGGTCAGTTGCTGGGGTTAGGAGTTTCTTGGGTTCCTTCCTCCTATTGGCTCTGGAACGTTAATTAGTTAGTTAGTTTATTATCTCAATATCAAATTCTACCATAGTTACTCTTCCAATTATTTATATCTAATTTTGAATGATATTACTATGTATGTATGTATATAACAAGGGGAAGCTTTCGTGACTGTTCTATAATAATATTCTTGGAAATATTAGTGGGATGCAGTCTGGACCAATGAATCAATTAAATTTCTTCGTTATTTGTCGTCGAGCTTTCGAAAATTTTTATTTTCTTTATCAAGACTAACTGAAAACATCTAAAGGAACAATAATATTAAAATATAAATGTACATCAATTGAAATTGGTATACTTACAAACATGAAATTCTATATAAAATTAGCACAAAAAGGAAACATAGGTGTATAAATAAAATGAAATGATTTGACAAAAAAATGTCATAGATGATGGTTGACTTATTTGAAGATGTTGAATACAGAGTGAGATGAATACTGATATATAAAAATACTGATAGATAAAAAAAAAAGTGTTTGTAGATTATATATAAAACATGAATCATTCAAGGAGGACGAGTTGATTTTTTATCTTTTTGTTTCTTTAGAAGGAATGTATAAATGGTACTAAGATCGTTGATGTATGTTCTTTTGTTCATCGTTTTATCATTGAACAAAAGAACAGACAAACGATCTCAGTACCATTTATACATTCCTTCTGAAGAAACAAAAAGATAAAAAATCAACTCGTCCTCCTTGAATGATTCATGTTTTATATATAATCTACAAACACTTTTTTTTTTATTTATCAGTATTTTATATATATATATATCAGTATTCATCTCACTCTGTATTCAACATCTTCAAATAAGTCAACCATCATCTATGACATTTTTTTGTCAAATCATTTCATTTTATTTATACACCTATGTTTCCTCTTTGTGCTAATTTTATATAGAATTTTATGTTTGTAAGTATACCAATTTCAATTGATGTACATTTATATTTTGATATTATTGTTCCATTAGATGTTTTCAGTTAGTCTTGATAAAGGAAATAAAAATTTTCGAAAGCTCGACGATAAATAACGAAGAAATTTAATTGATTCATTATTGGTCCAGACTGCATCCCACTAATATTTCCAAGAATATGTATGTATATGTAGAGTATTCCATCAGTATACGTTTCTTTTTGTCTTCCAGATAACAATGTATCACAAGAATTATTAGTCCATACCAGAATAAATTCTCAAACAATATTGAGCTCATTTCTTTATGAAAATACACTGGCCGAAATTGGAGCGATAATAAAATGGGCTAGCGTATGAAACATGACGACAGAATAAATAGTGCTTTTGGGTGTATGAAAAATTGACATTCATCATACAGGGCGTGGAAAAAAATGCTGAATTGAGACTATCACGAATCTGCGATTAGAGGTCTATAAAAATCACAAGTTTCCATCGTTCGAGTTTGAACCCCCTGATTGGGTATGAAAGTGTTGAAAAGGAATATTCTCAGATAAATTATGAACATACAAAAATGGATATATATTTTTTATATAAAGCAATACATTGAGAATTCGCATTCTCTATGTGATGAGAATATTCACTCTTTTTCAGTTTATTCAATAGAAAACAACTACTTTCCTGGCTATATGCCACGACGAACATTGAATTATATTTATTGAACACACACGATAAGAGTTTGAAAATAAAATATAAAAACTTCTGAAATTGAGAATTTGCATTCTCCTTCAGACAAAAATATGTATATGCACACATCATTCTGAATATTCAACAGAAAACAACTACTTTCCTGGCTATTTGCCACGTCGAACATGGTTACTGATGAGGATTCAGAAATCCGAAATGGTTTCATTGCAATAAAGTCATATAACCTGTGTGTGAGAGATAATATTTTCCATATCACTGATATGAATGATTATTTTTGGAAGTTTTCAAGCTCATCAAGATCAGAGTTCATGCCCAGTATACCCCTCCTATACATTCCAATTTTCATTTCAATGCTGAATATATTGGTAAGTTATATTTCTATTCCATTATTCATCATATTATTCATCCGATTTGAAGAAGAATGTCAATTATCAATTTCGGAGGATGTTATTCTTTATTTTTCATGTTCTCCTTTTGAATGTTCATCAGATATAATTCAATGTTCGACGTGACAAATAGTCAGGAAAGTAGTTGTTTTCTGTTGAATATTCAGAATGATGTGTGCATACACATATTTTTGTCTGAAGGAGAATGCAAATTCTCAATTTCAGAAGTTTTTGTATTTTATTTTCAAATTCTTATCGTGTGTGTTCAATAGATATAATTCAATGTTCGTCGTGGCATATAGCCAGGAAAGTAGTTGTTTTCTATTGAATAAACTGAAAAAGAGTAAATATTCCCATCACATAGAGAATGCGAATTCTCAATGTATTGCTTTATATAAAAAATATATATCCAATTTTGTATGTTCATAATTTATCTGAGAATATCCCTTTTCAACAGAATAAATAGTAACAAAAAATGCCTAAGGAATAATTTTAAAAAAATTACTCTCTCACCCAATCACCCTTTTCAACTAATATCAAGAATCCGTCACTTCTGGTGTTTTATACCTCGCCGAACACAAGCGCTTGGCAGGCCAAACTCCTATAAATCATCTACAGAAGAATCTAAAGCAAATGTTGATCGGATTGATATGTTTTCCAAAATAATTTCTATTGAAGATATTTCCTTTCATGTTGTCTAATCTTTTTTGTATTGCCCATATTTTGCGCCCCAATTTTTTGAAAATACAATAATCAAATAGTCAGTAGGTAACTACCTACCATGACCTCCAATGTGCTGTGAAGAACAGCTCTATTGTAAATTTTGATTCAAATAATCCATGTTTCGTTTCTAGAATATGGAATTCTTGCATGGAATAAGATCGTATTGCAAACCTGATTTGTTTGGACATCGGAGGTATTTTAACTTCTTTCTGAGCGTTTCCAGCTTCATATTCGGCTAGGTCATGATGAAAAATATGAGATACTAAATTAAAGTAGACGGTACTTCATCATTATCAATATTGAATATACCTATTCCACTTCTATAATCCAATTCGACAAAATATTATATATTATATAAGGTAATACCACGAGTCCTTCAAACATTATCGAAATTCTTTTAATTTTTTTATTGAAACTTTTTTATTTGGGAAAAAGTTGAAGATAAGCCGAGTGATAAAATCACCAGTCCGTAAGGAGTGGTTTTATCTTATCCGGTTTGTTTGAATGATTTTGCCTGGAATAAAAAAGTTTGAGTGATGAAAATGAAAACTTATTGAATACATTTTTAGGGATGGGTTGTGTTTGGAAAATCTATTTTTCCTTTATGTTCATTTTCAATGAATTTTGAAGCACTTCGCTCATGGCCGGAAATTTTCTGTAGACTATTTGTTGCGTCCTGTCAATAGTTGCTAGTATCTGGTGCACAGACATATAAATACTAAACTATAACCTCACATTATAAAGAATGTATTTGCACATGTTTATGGAAGGGATAGTCTTTATTCAGCCCAGTAAAAAATCATTGTTATTGATTCAATCATCACACATAAAAGTATAAGAAGATAATTGATGCAGGTGAGTCCTACTAGTTTTCAACTATAACTATATATAGGTAAAAGGAATAGTTTTATTTAGTCCAGTGATAATTACTATTCAATCATCACACATACCCATAACGCAGGCGAGTCATTACTCTCTATTTCGTTTTGTTTGGTCAGTTCAATGTTGATTTTATTGAGGACCATGCAATGTATAATACCGAATGATCATCTAGAATAACGGATTGCTATTGGTTGAAATATTGGGAACGTTTCATTTTGATATGTGAATAAAATAATCTATTATCAACCGTCCAAATATGAATTGTGAGATTTTGCAATCGGCCAATAGAGAGATCTAATAACAAATATAAAAGGAGTAGAAACTGTGTCAAGACGTCTAACCATTACAAACTACGTTATGAGGGAGAGAAGACAGAATAAGCTATGTATATAATATAGGTAGGTTCAATGAGTATTACGGAACGCACAGTATAGGTCGGTAGTAAAACTGTAGGTTTGTTCTCGTTCAAAATATAAAGAGTATGAAACCATCAGGAGCATCCATAGAACTGATGAAATATTTTATGTTCCGTGGGACTGCACATGCTTCCGATGGTTACGGACTGTTTATTTTCCGAAAGAGAACAAACCGTATAACTCATCGACAATTAGTCTTTTCATTCATATACCTACTTACCTAGCACAAATCATCCAAATCAGCAGCACGATGAATATAATCAGAATAACTGATGCAGCAATACCTCCAGCAATATAGGCAAACTCGGATTTCTCTGTGCAGTGTTTGCCAGTGAAGCTACCGATACATCTGCAGGTCGGTTGGCTATTATTGTCTTTCACACATGTACCTTCATTGTCACAATAGCCATCGCATACATCGTAGCATTCTTTTCCTGTACCATTGAATCCAGGTCTGCATTCACATTTGAAGTCGCTTGTTTCCGGTATTAGAAGACAGTAAGCATTTTTATCGCAATGCATCTCATCAGCACTATCAGCACCATTTGCATCACATGGGTTGGTACATTCCGATTTACTGGTCTGAAATCAATGGAAGTTACTACTATACAGCCCCAAAATGCAACAGAAAATCTTATTGTGAGCAGTTATAGATATAGCTAGATTTTTTTCTATCGTTTGGAGCGAACGAATGGAAATTCATATAATGTTTGTTGGGAGGACAGGGAGAGGAGGTAGGTGTTGGAATTTGTTTTGAGCTTCTGGAGGCTACAAGTTCTTGGGAATATTTTCATTGGCAAAGAATTTCAAATCTTCGCCGTTATATTGACGAACGAGTGTTTTTCGACATCTTTCAAGGTTAACGATGTGCTGACTGGGCCATATAATGTATCAGAATATCTCAATTAGAGTTATAGAGTCATCCTAGGTTTCAAAATATCAGTGTATTGAATAGAGAAATTTCGGTATTTGTTCGTTTTAAGTGGGACCAGAATCGAAATTATGGAAAGAAAATCTAGGAACGCACCTAACAAAGGTGTACGGGTCTGGAAGGCAAAGTGAGGAATAGCCATCGGAGAAAATGAGTGTTTTTCATTTATTGTATTTCAATTGGAGAGTTTCAGCTCTATATATAAGTTATTGCTCAGATAAGTTCTATTCGTTTCTGAATTCAGCAGATACATTTGTTTCAAAGAAAAATTGTCCCAAAACTAGTATTTTGTGATTGAAATGTACATTCATAATGCAAATATTCTTCAATTAGAAACACGTTCAAGATTATGAGTTGAACCTTGCATAAAATGTTTCAATTGTTTTCTGAAAATTGGGTGACATTGCTCCAAATAAGCCAATGCATAAGTGATTGAATGATATATTATTAACTCACCGTTCCAACGCCTTTGGTACTCTTATTCGGAGGACAAGGAATACATGTCGTCTGTTGTGACTCGGACTGATAGAATCCTTTTTTGCAGGGTATGCAACTATTCAAAGTTCCATTCAAATATGTTCCTGGAGTACATACTGGCAAGGAACATTCTTCATTAGTTGTCGCTCCCACTTTGGGAGTGGTCCTTCCTATTGGACAAGCCTGACAAGCTGACTCAATACCTTGTGGAATAATAGAAAAATTCTAATAAATATTCATGATAATTCGACATGGAATATATAAAAACCAATAAGGATTAATTATCATATAAATTTGGCGTGAATGATGATAAAAATGATAACAATAAGGTATAATCGAATAGACAAATGAATATAAATGAATTTAGTGAAGAAAGAAAACTGAACGAATGAGGACAACAGAATCTTCACATACAAGTTTAATTATTGTTAAAAACTGAATCATACGAAAGCGTAGAACGGACAAGAAATATTTTTTTTCTTAATTTCGAGTTATAACTCGAAATTAGTACTAATTTCGTGTTACAACTCGGAATTAGTACTAATTTCATGTTAAAACTCGAAATTAGCTTTATTCCGAGTTATAACTCGTAATTAGTGCTAATTTTGTGTTACAACTCGAAATTAAGCTCTTCTTGAATTGTAGTACGAAACCAAGCTCTCAATGAGTCAAATTTTCACAGGAAGTAGTTGTATAAATCTCGGTATAGTACCTAACAGTGTAGTTAACAATGAAAGAAATAGTGTACCTATATTATCACACCATATAGGTATTTTAGGAAACTTGTTTTCAACACATCGCTTTTCCATCACAAATAACATATCGCAACTACATTGCAAAAAACATATCGCTGTTATATCGCAGAGACCTTATCGCAGCGACGTCGCATGGATGAAACTTGAGAGTGACAAAATAACATCCCTCTGACATCGCAGCGACGTCTATGCGACAAAGAATGCGATATCGCAGGTCACAATTGTTACATCGCTGCGATATCTCTGTGATGTTACTGTATTTGCAGGGATGTTGTTTATAAACTTTTTTGTTATTCACTCGAACTTATTTATTTCACTCATTTCTGAGTTATACCGGTTAATAGTGAATGTTTCTTTTATGACAAAAACTGAGACTACGGATGATTTTCACAAGAATGCCATGAATATAAATTACCATGGCAACCATTGTTATCGCAAATGTTGTCAGAGATATTGTCAAATTAAGCTAATATCGAGTTGTAACACGAAATTAGTACTAATTTCGAGTTGTAACTCGAAATTAAGCTAATTTCGAGTTATAACTCGAAATTAAGAAAAAAAATATCTCATGTCCGTTCTACGCTTTCGTAGAATCAGGTATGCATAACGGAACAAATTCCATTCTTTTCGAAATTGCAGTGCATTAGATCTAATTGTGAAAGTTTTCTAGCAATACTTCTCAACTCCCAGAAAAGAACATGCATGAATTTCATGTTATGCAAATATTAGGAAGCTGCAAGGAATCGAACAAACAGATGTCCAAATGATTTTAGGAGTGCATTATGTCATCATACCCTGTGTTCTAAAGGTTCCTCTTGGACAAGGTTCACACTTTCCATCTAGAGCCAGTTGCATTCCATTACCGCACTGATCTCTGCATTCCTTAACTGATACAGCTTCATTGGTTCTTGTAGTCTTACCTAGACCACAGATTTCACAGGAGAATGATCCTTCGTTTGGTTGGTAGAAACCATGACCGCAGCTACGGCACAGTCCAGCATCATGATCGTAGTATTTTCCAGCTGGACAGCGTTCTGAAATATTGAAATATCGATTTGATCAATAAGGATCTACCAATCGGTTGTAGATTTCTAATGATCGTTGGAACATAATGAGTGATGAGTAGTTCAATCCTGAGAAGCTAGTTCAATTCTGAAAGTTGTAGAGCACAACAAAAGAGATAATGTATAAATGAAGGAAATATAGACTACATATATGTTTCCAGCTGAAATATTCCTATTTTATATGTATTGCAGCACTTTCGATTTTACTGGAAGTGACGACGACCTTACTATTTCAAAGAAATACCCTGTATTTTACTTTATTCTTGATTTGTTCCCTATCAATTCATTCTGATTTAATGAATCGAAACCGTGCCCAAGGTGTACCGAAGCATCAGTAATCAGCCCCTTGATCACTCTGTTAAGTAAGTGAAATTCTCACAAACTGACATCCAGCTACTGATTTCATGTTCACTGAATTTTGAAACAGGGCGGGTATTGAACTTTTTTCGAAAGAAAACTACTTTGTTCTTCGTATCGCACAATTCTGATTCAAAAAATGGGCCTCATATCCGTTCAGAAGACTGCAAGCCGAGACAACAGTATTACTTCCTCTTCAGTTGATATCGATAGAACATGGTATTCACTTCTAAAAACTCAACATGAAAATAGTAGATTCAAGATTGATTATTTTAAAACATCCTGTAACAGTTTGGTATCCTGATGAGAATATCAAACGGACGACCATAAGATATATGATTTGGGTAATGAAAGGACGTCCATTGACTTCCCGAAATATCATCAATTGGTAGCCATTGCATATTATGCTGGCCATTATATCGAATAGTATTGATTGTTATGATGAAAATCACTTGACTGGTGTAATATACTGTTCTTTATGTTATTAAATGCATTCCGTCATTGGTCCCAGAACTGGTTCCAACGCCCCTTGAGTAGAAATACTTGTGCGGAGTTATGGAAGCATACACTCACAATCATCCATGGCCTGAGTATGGTACTTGAACCTATGCCTCGGCGAAATTACTCTTACCAAATCAACGCCATTGCCCTCTCGACCACCGGGCCGTGGAATTTTAGTAGGTAGAGAAATAATTAAATTACGTGATAGAAAATGTTGGGGTAATTAGCTCAATAGAATGACACTTTTTTACAGGAACATCAGTCAGAAATCTATCTTTCATTTCAATTGCTTCAAAAACTTCGTTTCTTAGTTTTGTGATGTTGCCTCTTATTTAGAAGTGGGACTTCCCGAATAAGGAGAAACAGAGGGCATATTTTCTATGCGAACTTTTTCCCGCTTTTTCTGTTTCTATCAAAATATACATTGAAATATACATTGATATATACATTATATATGTATAATAACATTTTCTCAATCTAGTATCAGAAAGATATGAAACATGGTGCTAGTGGGTATTGATAGATCAAATGATAGATCAAACATATACCTACTCCAAGTAACACATTTTCGAAGCAACTCATAAACCTCATTTTGTTTCAACAACAGGTTTTGGACAAAACTATTTTGAAGATAACTAGTAGGTTTGAATATCTGCAAATGTGTAGGTGAATATGAGTGCTATGCATTGATTTCATTCAAGACATACCTTTACAGTCCGCGGCACTCCGTGCTCCCAGTGAGACTGTTACTCCAGGTCTACCTGCTATAACTGGACATTGAGTGCACTGTAACTGACCAGATTCGCTCTGGTAGTATCCTTGGGGACATGAAATACAAGTCTTCGTATTTTTGTCATAGAAGCTCCCAATGGCACAAGGTACTGAAATTGAATCACCATAAATGAATCAAGTTAGCATATTGGACTTATGTTACTGATTATTACATTTCAAACAAGTTCAATCGTGATTAGAAGGACTCTACTGATTCATCTGACGTCATTTGAACAAGGCAATAATATATAAAATGAATAAATAAGATAACGAGATTTATATTTTGGAAAACAATGAAGGTAAATATTAGAATAGCTATGAGATTAACTCACCACAATCTGGTGCCATAACAACTTGTCCAACCGGACAGGCGTAGTCAGATTGGAGAATAAGCGAAGATGGATCAGGTACTGTGTTGGGCAAAATATCGCCAACATCGAATTGGTCTTCTTCGAGAATCAACTTTTCCATAAGTGATTTCACAGACGATCTCTCGTTAGTGTTGGAGTGTATAACAGGATCACTAAAATAATGTGCGAATTAATTCAATGTGCGAATCAATTCCGGTCATGATATGAAGCTTAAACTTCATGTAAAAGTTCCATGCTGTAGTGTAGATGCAAGAGGAAGATAATATACAAACTCTGTAGCTTTCTTCGAGGGGTATTACTTTCAAGGTATCGTATCCAGATAAATGTAGATAACCTTCATTGGTTCTTACTTTCCAAAAGTTCTCAAACAATCTGAATTTCACGTATTCATCGGAATATAATTTCAAGAGAAAGCTCAATGTATACGAAGTAGTATTATTGAATAAGTTCTCTATTTCCCACCGATTGAAAAAAAAACAATTTCATTGCATCGGAGTCATATTGGGATCGCAAGAATTTCTCTGAATGGCATTTGGGTTCTCTGATGGAATATTTCTTCCGGAATCCTCTCAACCATTATCTTTATTATGTTCTTATCAATTGATACACACAACTCGGTAGGTGGACCTTGAAGGAAACCATTCTTTGGGAACTAAATACTATTGAGTTTTCCAAGTTAGCATGGAACTGCATCGATTATTCAGATGTCTAACGAGAAAGCTCTCTCAAGGAAGAAAAGGGATCTGTTTTCTTATAACCAGAACCATATTTTGGTTAAGTGATCCTTATATGATGTCTTCCGTATGATTGCATACAGGATACTTTCGCTAAAGATACCACCTAGAGAAATAGGTCCGATTCATCTGAGCTAACACAGAGACTGTTGGTTCTGCTGTGTGGAAAAAAACATCTGAACACATATTGTGTTCGATCTCTTGTTCAATACATTCGTTTTCACCAATGTAGAACCTAATAGTGATTTCAGGACAATTTAACCTGTTTCAACCATGGACTTTTCACCTCTATTGGTGAGCCACGATCTATCCATCTGTGATATTGATGGAAGGTTGACTAACCCCACAATCACATGGAACCTAACAAAATCTGTGATATATATTTCCGTCTATTCTGAATTACCCCTATTTATCGACGTTCTCCAGAATTCTTTGAAGTTATTTCAGAGTATGGAAGATATTTGTTTGAATTCTTCAAAATGCAATCAGAACAAAATGAATTTGAAAAAATTGCATATGGCTACTATAATCTTGAATTTTTTTTCTCTTTAGTGTTTGATAGAAAAACGGCACCTATCACTACATAAAAACATGAAAATAAAGAGCAGTGAGAACACGTACGTTGAAAAATGTTTGAAGGAAGTGATTACCAAAAATAAAATATTGACAATATCATTTTCGGAATAGATGTATTTCTCACTATATTTCACCACAACGGAATATAACAAACGTGTTCTCACTAGAGATAAAGATATCATTGTAAGATAGAATAATGTGAAAAATACTACTACATGCTTACTTTATCGCTGGGAAGGTGATTTCAATGTTGTACGTGTCACTCGATGATTGCCTTCCTTGCCGGGCATTTCTACAATAAGATTAACATGCTACTTCTACACATTCAACTAAACTATATACTTGAATCATGCAATAAAACCACGGAGTGATAGATAAACTATTCTAGAATTGTGAACAGATAATACCATGCCTTACAACTGAAAACCAGGTTGTAGAATAATGCTGTATCTATAAGAACTAAGAAGATAAGTTCTCTAATAAATCCTTCGCTACCTGATTTCAATCTTGTACATAATTGATATACAATACGGCCGAATATCTCAGCTGGAGTTGTTAAATAACTTATCTTGATAATCATGGTCAACAACAAGGTGGTGAGAGAACTTTATTTCGATAACTAGATTGATACTCACTTCCCAACTGGTACACTGGCATTCACCACATAGGTGCCACCATCCTCATCATCACTACTGACTTGTCGTGTTTGTCTATTCGATCTATGATCACACTTGACATCGATATTGAGTTCCCTACATTCTCTTGTACCTTCTATAGAGAAAGAACAGAAGTTCCAATCTCTATTGAGGGAGTTTACAGCATTGCGAACTTTTTGTTTCAATACTCCCTGCCCTGCCTCGTTACAGAGAACAGAACTTGGGAACAACATTGCTATCCTGAATACTCGTTGTGCTGGTTTCGTAGCTACAAAATATTTCATCACATGAATCTCAATGAAGCAGTATGCAAAATAATAATGCATCTTATGAAGTCCACATTCAGTGGACTTAGCAATAATAATCAGGTGACTTTAGGTGAATTTTGTGAAATTTTAAATTCGAATAATGAATTATTCCAGATCAGAATAGTAAGTAAAACGATTTTGTTGGGATGATAATTGGAAAATAATTGACACATATACTTTCGTATAAGTTAACACTTACAAGAGCAAGCTGGGAATACTAGTGGTAAATTCGGATTAGTTGTGGGTCTCCAGAAACCTTCAGCTCCACAAGTATAGAAGAGTGGTATTTCTTGTGAAAACCTGAGTCCTGGATTGCATCCGATATCACAAACTTTGAATTGCCCTCCTGCACCCCAGTCTTTGCATGCTTGGTAGCCTCCTACTGGATCCGGCAATTCTGGGCAGAAATCAGCTGAAATAAATTGGAAATTATATTTCGATGTGAGTGAATGATTATGATTTCAGTGCGTACATAAAACTGATACTTTGAAAGTACATGTTGCTGTATTTCCTGCGTCGTCAGATGCTACATAAGCGATTTGGTATATTCCCCACAAAAGTGTCTGACCAGGACGATGTCCAGATTTTTCTTGCACCCTTGTAATTCCAACATTGTCGCTGAAATGTGGTTCATCCCACACTACCAATGCTGAACCATTCTTGGTGATGATCCATAGATCTCCAGGACAGTATTCTACTTTCGGAGGAATCTTGTCTACTTCCATCTCTTGACACTTAGATCCTTTATAACCAGATGGACAATTCCTTTGTCCACATTGTGATGGTACCATTCTTTCAACTCCTCCAAGTGTTTCTTCATAACCAGCCCATGTGAGTATCAATCCTTTGTATAATACTGGTTCTGTTCTGCAGTCTCGTACTTGTTTCTGAACTTCATTCGTAACATCTAGAGCTCGGCCCCAAATTTGAACTTTAGTTAGGTGTCCTTGGAAACCAGACTCTGTGTAAGCTTTAGGATTTCCAGTTTGTGGTTTTCCAAGAGTTACCCATGCACTAAAACAATCACGATTTTTTATTCACATTTTTATAATTGATGAAAAACTCACTATTCCGGTAATTTCCTTCCACTAGCATAGCCCTTCATTTTGCTAGCAATAAGTCCTTCAGTAATCAGTTTGAGTTCTCCGCCGTTCTCACCATCCCAGATTACAGCAATGTGATGCCATTGTGCATCATTGACAGTTGTGTAATCCTTATAGCTCAGATAAACGTCTTGCAAATCGGGAAAAATAGATATTTGCACACCATTAGAGTGTGCCTGGATCATTGGTCTTCTATCATTCGCAACATGTTTTGATCTATAATAAGTAAGTAAATCGTGAGAGGAATTAAATTTTGTTTCGAATTGCTCAGATAGTTGATTTTTCTCATGATATTATATGGTGTTTTCAAAAAGCATCGACTCGATTTCATTGATGAGTTTTATTAACAATAACCCTTGTTGCTAATTGCTTGTTGTTTCAGTTGTAACTTTTGAGAATCCTTTGATTGATTCACACGAAAATAATAATTCATGGAAGAAAAAACGCATAATGAGATGGTCGAGGATTGGGCTGTGCAAAAATATCTATATATTTCGATATATTTCGATATATCAAATAACGATATCATCCAAAAAAATATACCGATATATACAGGGTGTTTAAAAAAAACTGACTGACAAGGGTAGGTAGAACACTGCAAAATAAGTTGGATTTACTCAGTAAAAAAATTTCGTAACGGCATCCGTTATCAAAATACAAGGTGTTGAAAAAATGATGTTTCTACACATTTTTCAAGATTATGTCGAAACTACTGGCAACATTGTAATGAAATTTTGTATGGATGTTTCTTGGAATCTGACACATCGCATGCTCGATACTGAGCACTGAAGTTGAAAAAATCATCAAGATTATACTAACTACCTATTGAAAATCAAGACTATGTCCTATGAACATATTGATATGTGCATTATCATTAAAATTATCTCTTTTCTACAGATTTTCCTTTAATCGAGAATTCTGTTACTTTACAAACCTATAGCAACATATCCTCTCATTTTGTGAAATTTTGTCAATCCATTGTGAACCATAAAATAGTACAAGTGAACTTACGATACACTGTATAGAGTGAAGAAGATCCCATTTTCATCTTTCTGAGTGAACTGAACCCACATAGCGATTGTTAGACTGGACTTCGATCCAGTATAGAAGGGTATGACTTGAGACGCCGAGCTACGAGTAGCATCACTGAAGTACAAGTCATAATCCACAGAGATAGCTGAAAAAAAAATTATTCAATCTCTATTCTATTCGAAACTGGCCATTGAAATATGTTAGTGGGAAGCAATCGAATTAGTTGTGGTAGTCCTGAAATTTAAGAAAGCACTACGAGTTTTTGAGATTCTGAGCTTCTCCTTCCTTTCATATCTTTTGGATTAGTTTTCATTGAGCTTGCTGTGGAAACTTTTCGAAGTCAAAATTATTTAGCCAATTTTGGAAGGTTTATCATTCGAAAGAGGTACAATCGTCTTCAGCAAACATGTCGCGGTTGGACGATATGAGCGCTCTCATTGCATCGGTGATCAAGGGAGTGGAATATCTCATTTTACTCTTCAGTATTGAATAACAACATCAATTTAACATCGAATGATCAGAAATAAGTGGAACTAATGGATAGTCTCCTTTGGAATTCCGAAAAAAACATTGATGATGGCATAAAGTAGGTTGAAACACATTCAAACGACAATGTATACTACATGGTAGAATTCAGAATGAAAATTCTTCCGGAATCTGTGATCACATAATCAGGACAGTATTCGACAGAACAAGGTAATCATGGTTATACGAATACGAAACGTCCCGTAGAGAAATTACTATCATCACCACGTTGAATCTCATCGAAAGTTGCTATGGAAAGGATTATCAGTTTTTCTGCATCTCTATTAATAACGTAGAAAAATAGGATACATTTTATGAAAATTAACTTTTTTTATATAACTGAAAATCTAAGAACAATTCTCGACGGCCGATGGTATGACCCTCTGAATGCGCAACTTTTTTCCACTTGTATTTGTATATTTTCCTGTTTCCGAGATCACCATGCTGTGTAACCTTATCTACCTTATCCCACTGTATATCTATATATTTTTTATTGGGTATAAGAAAATCGTTATAAGGGATTTATTTTCAGATTGATGTCCGAACTTATGTTACTGATCTGTATAAATCTGAAAAGTTTGAAATTCTCACTTTTTCGGCAGTCTTCTCCCGTTAGGTTGAATGGGCATTGACAGTAAAATTTTCCGGTGAGATCTATACACGTCGCACTTGGTGGGCAAGAGTTTTCTTTACAGTCGATGATATCCTCTTCACAGAATTTCCCGGTGAATCCTGGTGGACAGACACATTTGAATCCAGGTGCCTGGTTGGTGCATGTAGCTCCGTTTTTACACGCATTGGCTTGACAGGCATCATATTCATATTGGCATCCTATTCCGCTATACCCATCACTACATGAGCAGTTCAAGCCAGATCCGAAGTCTTGACATTTGCCACCATGCATACAGGGGTTGCCAATACATCTTTCTGGAGCAGTTTCACATTGTTTACCGTCAGTTCCAGAAGGACATCTGAAAGAATGAATGTCAATGATTAAACAGATAATTGTGGACACAAACATGTAATATTTGTATGATCTGAAAGAGGTGGGGGTCTCCTTTTCACATAATAATTCATTTAACGATTGAAATATGAAAGATTCAATTTCTAAGAATATATTATTGCAACGTAGCAGGTGAAAACTTTTGTGATTGCTTCTCAAGATAACATAAGGGTTCATGCAGTCGACCCATAGACGGAAATTAAATATATCTTTCATTAGGGTTTTCATAAAATGTGTCCTGGATATACATTGGTAAAAATTCTTACTTACACACAAAAATAGTCCTGGAACAAATTGATACATTTTGCATCATTCTGACATGGTCTCAACTGACAGCTACCAATGTCCATCTCGCAGTTAGGTCCTGTCCATCCTGGTTGGCAGACACATTTATAGGAACCAACTTCGTCCCTACATGATCCTCCATTGAGACAAGGTTCTGAATGACAGTCATCGATATTTATTTCACAAGAAGTGCCTGAATAACCTTCTCTGCACATACAAACAAACTTATTATCGAGATCAACGCATCTCTCAGTTCCAACAGGATTGCAAGGATCACTCAGGCATTCATCAATTTCAGCTTCACACTGAAGACCAACAAAGCCAGGCCTACATTTACAAGAGAATCCGTCAACTAGGTTGGTACAAGAAGCTCCATTCTGGCATGGTTCTGAAGAACAAAAGTCGATTGTATGCTGGCATTTCTTCCCTGTGAATCCTGGTTCACATGTGCAAGAAAAGTCGTCAATGCCATCCGTGCAATGGCCGCCGTTGAGGCAAGGATTTGGTTGGCAGTCGTTGATGTTCGATTCACAACTTTCACCTGTCCATCCAGGGTTGCAGATACAATCATGGTAGAACAACTTGTCAACACATACGCCATTCTTACATGGAGCATTACCGCACAGGTTTATTTTCTCTTGGCATCTCTTTCCACTGAATCCAGGTGGACAAGAACAGCTGAAGTCTGCTACCAAGTCCGTGCAGTTGGCGCCTAGCAGGCATGGTTTTTCGGCGCAGTCGTCTATATTATTTTCACATACTTGGCCTTCCCATCCTGGTAAACATTCGCACATGAATCTGCCTTGTTGTAGCGCTACACAGGTTGCCCCATTGTTACAGGGATTGCCATTTGCACTACATGGATCGATCTGTAAATTGAATTATTTTTGCTTATAACTCTCATTCATGAAGTTCATGGAGTTCATCAAGGAATAATATGAATTGGTTGAATATTATGAGAACCAATGAATCAATGGTGTGGTGAAACAGATAAGCAAGGACAGTTGCATTATATGGATGTTTCAAATTCCACATCATGAATAGAGAAATCTCAATATTTGGAAGATATTATGCATTTTCAATTGAAAAAAATCATACCGTAACATCACAATCGATCCCTGTATAACCTGATCTACACAAGCATGTATAATTCTTGTATCCTGGTTCATCTTTGCACATAGCACGAGCAGGGCACGTATCATTGGAGCAATCTGACTTTTCCTCTTGACAATTGATACCAGAATATCCAGGTGGACATTGACACTTGTATCCTTGAGGAAGATCTATGCAAGTTCCACTATTATAACAAGGTTGTGAAGAACACTCATCGATATCTATTTCACATCGACGACCAGAAAATCCTGCAGGACAGAAGCACTGGATGCCATGACCCATAGGAACACACAGACCACCATGTTGACAAGCATTGTCCTTGCATTGTACTGGAGTACATTCGTCCCGTCCTAAGGCTCCACTACCTCCAGTCATCATATTGCTAGGGCACTCATTGCAGTAAGTTTGTCCTGGAATAGTTTGATAGAAATCTTTGGGGCACAAGGAGCATGGCGCTAATCCTGTTGGCGAGTATTGACCAGGTCCACATTTTGGTCTACACCTATCTTTTCCAGGAGCTGCAGGTTGATATGTGAATGTGTTTGCTGGACAAGCTTGGCAGTCTTTGAATCCTCCAGTAGGTGGTTCACTAGTGTAACTATTTCTAGGACATTCCAAGCATGGTACTAGACCTGTTGGGGAATAAGTACCATATCCACATACTGGAATACAATCATGAACACTCTTTGAGCCTTCTTCTCGTGTATATGTTCCTTGTGGGCATTTGTTACAGGATCCCTGTCTATCGCGATTTTGGTAGAATCCTCTTGAACAATAGGTACACTCTTTTTGTTTTTCGCCAGCGAAAGTTCCGGCAGGACAATGTACTGAAACCGAAAACATTCATCTAATCAAATAATTTCCTATTAAAATTCATTACTTACAGCATCTTGGTACATCATTGGTGTCCATATTGAGAACTTCTCCAACATTACAAGTGAAACCTCTTTGATTAGATGATTTCAATGCTTTGAGAGGCGGGCACTGATTTCCAATTGCGGCTACATTCAGAAGTGGTTCCACAACAGCACTCGCATATGGAACTGATAAATCGAACATCAAATTCAATGTACTTCCACATAGATCATATAACTGAGGCTGCCTGACTACGGGAACTATTTCTAGAATATAATCGACCTTGACAACATTTTCTTCTACTAGGGAAGCGGAGGAATTGATGAAGGACACGTTCATGTTCACATTGACAGCTGAACATCTCTGAGAGAGGACGCCATTCAGGTTATCATAATATTGGGCGATCAAGTCTGTATATTGGTTCAAACAAGAAGTTGCCACAGCACCATTAGCTCTATAAATGATAGTAGCCGTAAAGTGGTAATCAGCTTGTTGAGTATCTGCAAACAAAATAAAGTGAAATTTGTTCTCGACATGAGGATATCAAACTCACTTTCGGATACACAATCGGGCACAACAGATGTAGGCTTCCAAGGACTATTAGTGTCACATGAAAAAGTTTTCACAGGTTCTCCATCAGTAAATCTATACCCAGGATTACATGTTCCTATACATTGGAGTCCTTTGTCACCTGGTAGACAGTTCAATGCCCCGTTCACTGGTGGTTTTAACTCCCAGTCTACACAAGGTGTAGCTTGAACTGATACTTGGAAGTGACAGGAAGCTCTATTTCCATATTTGTCAGTAGCTATGACGGTTACGTTTTTGAAATCTCCAATCTCTATCGTCGCTTTATCAGGAATATAAGTTATATGAACTTCCCCAGAAGCATCAGTTGCATTTATTCTCCTTCGGGTATCATTAAAGTTTATGGCATAACTTTCTTGCTTATCTACTAGCTCAATGACGTAACTTTGCGGACAGCTGAGTAGTGGTGGAGTATTATCTGAAAATATAATATGATAATTTACCGGGTGGCAACGAGATCATTGGACAGGGCTTCATTCAGTTGTATTTTAGGTTAGAATTTTGAAATACGGCACGGTTGATACACTTCCTCAGAACCCATAGCGTCTATGATGAAACAATTGACTATTACTTCCAGTTTCACCTACCGGAATTTGACTAAGGCGGCGCAGGAGACACATTGTCTTAAATCAATATTGTGACACTGTGACGTCCTCGATCAAAAATTTTTCAAGCAAGTTATTGAATGTACGATGTACGTTGATTCGTGTCTGATGAATCTTCACTGTTGTAATTTTGAATAAGATATTGTACTTGTTTCAAATTAACATAGATGTATTGGTCATTATGTACAGATGAATGCTTGACACTAACCCAACCTGAATAAATAACTTCATTATTTTTTCAATTGAACATAAAAACAAGAGGCATAGTGTGTCAAGTATTCATCTGTATATGATGACCTATATTTCTATGTTTAATTGAATAAAGTACCATTTCCTATATGGAATTTTCGGCAAAATTCGAGAGAAAGAATGTCACTTGAGAGAATTTCAAATGGAAAACCTGATTGACCTCGTATGTTTCATCAAAAAGTAATCAAAGGGCTTTTTGATCGGGTTGCTTAAAAAAATGGATAGACGACATCACAGTGTCGCCATTGTGATTTTAGACCAAATATCTACAGCGCCGCCATTTTGAAAACAAATGTTCATTCGTGATAGTAGAGGGCTTTAGCCATTTCCAAATCTCCCCCCAAGGCCAGAGGAGTGTGACCTTGGGGGGAGTGACCTTGGGGGGAGTGACCTTGGGGGGGGGGGGGCCTTGGAGGAGTGACATTCGGAGCGACCTTGGGAGTGACCTTGGGAGTGACCTTGGGAGTGACCTTGGGAGTGACCTTGGGAGTGACCTTGGGAGTGACCTTGGGAGTGACCTTGGGAGTGACCTTGGGAGGGATACGGAGGTTTCATCTCGGACAATTGTCGTGGTGGCCTTGGGTTGAGTGTATCCACTCTCGTGCGCATGTGTTCTTCTTCCCAAGGCTGTTTGATGGTGTAGTGGGGTGAGGCTACGCCACGACTCCCCTCTTCTATAAATCCGATTTCTGCATGCCCAGACTGTAGTCTTCCTGACATCGTCGATCGTTCAACTCTATCGTTTCTTTTCGCGAGTGATAAACATGTTGACCTGCGTTTGTGGCCAATCTTTCACTCGCAGTGACAATTTACGCCGCCACCAAAAAAAGTCGTGTGTGGGAAATCTCGATCCACCAATGTCGAAGAGGCCGCGGTTGGGTGATACTATTCATCAAGCATCAACGTCTGGCAACATGCAAGCGTGTACCGTTTGCAATAAAACCGTTCCAATCGATAAAATGGCTGCCCACAAAAGGACTTTGGAACATCGTTCGAACGCTTGCGTTAATTATAGAGATGGTGTATATGTTATCGAAAACGCATTCAAGTGTCGCATTATCAGTTATAGATTGGAATGTAGAACGGATGTCTTGGATTATAACACGTTCTTTACCGAAAATAAGGTGACTTTATCATCCCTATTGGGGAATATGCTGTCGATTCACCACACCATCAAGGTTAATATGGAAGTATTCGGTAGATATATTCTACAATCTCAGGATCTTCACGACATCAAATCCTTTGCGACACCGAATCACATCGTAGATTCATCCCTTGATTTGGATGCCATCATCGATACATTCAAAGACATCATCGTGAACCAAACAACTGAATTTGAGGAACGCGATTCCGGTGAGTTGAGAATGATTTGAATATCTGCATTATCACATCTATATAACTCAATTCTTTGAATAAATAAAACAATCACTTTTCCATTGTTACAGGTTGGGCTCTAGAGAAAATACTATTTCTCGAAATAAACATCAATAAATACAGTCCGCTGCGTGGGTGTTCCTACATCAAACTACCTAGTTTCATAGACAATAAGAGGGCGGTAGTGAATGTGGTGAATCAGGATGAATGCTGTTTTGCTTGGGCCGTGACGTCCGCCCTATATCCAGCAAGGACCAAACTTTGTGAGATATCTTCATACCCGCACTTCTCTACAGTTTTGAATCTGAGTGGTATAGAGTTTCCTATGAAAGTAAGTAGAATTCCAAAATTTGAAATACTCAATGATTGCTCCATCAACGTTTATGGGTTAGAAAGCGTAATAGAAAATCAACAAGTTAAATACCACGTTGTCGGCCCACTCTATTATTCGAAGAAAAGAATGAGTAAACATGTGAACTTGCTCCTTATAACGAATGATTCGGGTGAGAGCCACTATTGTTGGATAAAACATTTATCTAGATTGGTGTCCGCCCAAATGTCCTCGAACGGGCATAAGAAATTTTTCTGCGATGGGTGTTTGATACATTTTTCGGATGAGGCTAAGCTATTACGCCATCAATTGAGCGACTGTAATCACACATTTACGACAACACCAACTACAGCAGTCAAAGTAGATAAATTTGGAAATTCAGTACCTGAAAATATTTTGAAATTTGAGAATTTTGAGAAACAAATGATGGTACCTTTTGTTATATATGCGGATTTTGAATCAGTTTTGAAGCCGATACACACTAGTGAGCCGGACCCGAAGAAATCCTATACTAATAGAACATTTGTGCATGAACCATACTCATTCGCATACCTCATCAAATGCTCCTACGACAATTCCATCACGAAATTTGTTACATTCCGCGGAAAAGATGCGGCGAAGAAATTTGTATCTAGTATAGTAAATGATTCGAAAAAAATATATGACTTATATCTGAAGAACGTAGTTCCAATGAGAAAATTAACGAAAGTAGAAGAAGCCGATTTTGCTAATGCTACCGAGTGTGGCATTTGCGAAAAACCATTCCGGTTAGGTGATGTAAAAGTGAGAGATCACTGTCATTTGACGGGTAAAAAAAGATTTGGGGCAGCACATTCAGCATGCAATTTGAATTACAAAATCCCGAATTTCATACCAATTTTCTTTCACAATATGAGCGGCTATGATAGCCATCTATTCATAAAGCAATTATTTGATCGCGAAGAGAAAGTCGATTGTGTCGCACAAACTAAGGAAAAATATATTTCATTTACTAAGCACATTTTAGTTGGTGAATATTTGGGGAAAAATGGTCAAAATCATAATATCTTTCTGAAACTCCGATTCTTAGATAGTTACAAATTTCTCGCACAACCTCTTCAATCATTAGCCGGGAATTTGAATACAGATCAGTTTGTCGAAACGGCTAGATATTTTCCAGATCGCGAAAAATTCGAATATATGACACAGAAAGGTGTTTTCCCATATAGCTTCGTAACCTCCATAGATAAACTCGACAATCAAAATTTACCGACTAAAAATGATTTTTACGATAATTTATCTAATAGGCACATTTCAGATGAGGATTATCGAAGAGCTGAGCACGTGTGGAAATTATTCGAATGTAAAACGCTAGGGGATTATTCAGACGCTTATTTGAAATCGGATGTTCTTTTATTATGCGATGTGTTCGAGAACTTTCGGGAGGTTTGTTTGAAAACGTATAAGTTAGATCCGTGCCAATATTATACAGCACCCGGTTTATCGTGGGATGCTATGTTGAGGTATACGAAAATCGAATTGGAGTTGTTGACCGACATTGACATGATAAATTTCTTCAAAAAAGGCATAAGAGGGGGGATAAGCCAATGTAGCTTGAGGAGCCATGTAGCAAACAATCAGTTCCTTCCAAATTTCAATCCAAGCGAGCCTTCATCATTCATAATGTATTTAGATGCGACTAACTTATATGGGCATAGTATGTCACAACCGCTACCCACTTCCGATTTCAAGTGGTTAACTTATCAGGAAATTAGTGAATTAGATATTATGAGTGTTGCAGATGATAGCCCATGTGGGTATGTACTCGAAGTGGATGTGTACTACCCCCAAGAATTACATGATGTCCACTCAGATCTCCCTTTCCTCGTGGAATCCATTGTCCCTCCTGGTTCGACTTCTAAGCTGAAAAAACTGATTCCTAATCTTTTCAACAAAATTAAATATATCGTTCATTATAGAAATCTGAAACAGGCTATTGAAAATGGTTTGGTATTGGTTAAAATCCATAGGGCCTTGAAGTTTCTTCAATCACCATGGTTGAAAAAATACGTTGACCTCAATACAGAGATGCGTAACAAAAGTAAAAACAAAGCCGACAAGTGTTTATACAAGAATATGGTGAACTCAGTTTATGGTAAAACGATGGAAAATGTAGATAAAAGGAGTGATATCAAACTTGTTACCCATTGGGAGAGTATAAAATCGAAAAAGGGTGCCAATGTGTTGATAGCACTCCCAAATTTCAAAACCTGTAAGGTATTCCACGAAAATTTTGTCGCTATCCATATGGGTAGAGTGAGGGTACATTACGATAAACCGCTTTATTTAGGTTTCAGTATATTAGATGTGTCGAAAGTTGTTATATATAATTTTTTATATGAATGTATTAAGAAAAATTATGTCGAGAAATCACAGTTACTGTACACGGACACAGATTCATTGATATTGAAGATAGAAACAGAAAACTTCTATAATTTCATGAAGGAAAATATAAGCTATTTCGACACATCTAATTATCCTGCAGATAATAAATTTAATATCCCAATCACAAAATCCGTAGTAGGAAATATGAAGGATGAATTCCCGAATGACCCTATTGTAAGTTTCTATGGAACCGGTGCCAAAGCATACTATGTTCAATCTTTGAGCAGCGAATTGAAGAAAGCAAAGGGTGTGTCTAGAGCAGTCGTTAAAAATCAATTAACTTTAGACGATTATAAGAAAATTGTTGAAAAGGGTGGTTTGATATTCAGAAAAATGTGTAGTTTCCGTAGCGAGCGACATGATATCTATACTGAAATGAGGAACAAGGTCGCCCTTTCATATCATGACGACAAGCGATTTATCATACCTAATACG